GTTGTTGTTTTTAATGGGTATAAAAGAGGGGAAAAATGAGGAGAAAAAAACATGGAAAATACAAGGAGGAGGAATTTGACAAAGAAAATGAGGAATTCTGGAATATTCCAAAACCCCAATCCCCAAATCTTTAAGGAACCAGTGTCCCTTAGGTTCTTAAAATAAGATTTTTTTACCCTTTTTTGGGCTATTTTTAATGGATCCAAAAGAAGAAAAACCAATGGAAAACAAAAAAAAGGAAGAATTTGACAAAAAAAAATGAAGAATTCTGGAATATTCCATCTTTCCAATGCTTCCCACACCTCAAATCCCCAATTCTGGCTTTTTCCTGTTGTTTTTAATGGATAAAAAAGAACAGAAAATGAGGAAAAAATCATGGAAAACACAAAGAGAAGGAAGAGTCTGACAAGGACAAAGTGAGGAATTCTGGAATATTCCACACCCCAGATCCCCAAATCCCAATGTGTGGCACCAATGGGATTTTTGCCTTTTCATCACCATTTTAATGGATAAAAAAGAAAAGAAAATATGGACAAAACATGGAAAACACAAGGAGAAATTGAAAGGAAAATGTGAGGAATTCTGGAATATTCCACACCCCCAATCCCAGGAATTCTGGAATATTCCACACCCCCAAATCCCAATGTGTTGCACCAATGGGATTTTTGCCTTTTCGTCACCATTTTTAATGGAAAAAAAGAAAATGAGGAGAAAACATGGAAAACAAAAAAGAGAAGAAGGAACTGACAGAGCAAAGTGAGAAATTCTGGAATATTCCACACCCCCAATCCCAGGAATTCTGGAATATACCACACCCCCAATCCCAGGAATTCTGGAATATTCCACACCCTGAATCCCAATGTGTCGCACCAATGGGATTTTTGCCTTTTCATCACCATTTTTAATGGATACAAAAGAAAAACCAGGAAGGGGGAAAACCCCATGGAAAACACAAGGAGAACCCATCAGGAACCCCCCCAAAAAACCTCCAAATCCTGGAATATACCACACCCTAGATCACCAAATCCCAGTGTGTGGCACCAATGGGATTTTGCCTTTTCATCACCATTTTTAATGGAAAAAAACNCTCGGAGTTTGCACCGGGTTTGCTTTTCTGTCCCCACAATGGGATGGCAGAACGTGGCCTCCCTGCTCTTTTTGGGGTTCCAAATCAGCCCCAAATATGCATCAATTTAGTCTGAAATCAATCCCAAATGTGCATCAATTCAGTCCCAAATGAGCCCCAAATCTGCCCTTTTGTACCCTAAACTGAATGGCACAATTTGTCCTCCCTGCTCTTTTTGGGGTTCCAAATCAACCCCAAATCTCCTACAATTCAGTCCCAAATCAGTCCCAAATCTGCACCAATTCAGTCCCAAACATTCCTCTAAATCAGCCCCAAATCTGCCCTTTTTGTCCCCAAAATGGAATGGCACAATGTGTCCCCATTACTTTATTGGGGGTCCCAAATCAGCTCCAAATCTCCTACAATTCAGCCCCAAATATGCATCAATTTAGTCTGAAATCAATCCCAAATGTGCATCAATTCAGTCCCAAATCAGTCCCAAATCTGCCCCTTTGTCCCCAAAATGGGATGGCACAATGTGTCCCCCCTGCTGTTTTTGGGGTTCCAAATCAGTCCCAAACGTGCATCAATTCAGTCCCAAATCAGTCCCAAATCTGCCCTTTTGTACCCAAAACTGAATGGCACAATGTGTCCTCTCTGCTCTTTTTGGGGTTCCAAATCTCCTACAATTCAGCCCCAAATATGCATCAATTTAGTCTGAAATCAACCCCAAATCTGCACCAATTCAGCCCCTTTGTCCCCAAAATGTGATGGCACAATGTGTCCTTTCTTTCTCTTTTTTGGGGTTCCAAATCAGCTCCAAATCTCCTACAATTCAGCCCCAAATCAGCCCCAAATATGCATCAATTTAGTCTGAAATCAATCCCAAATGTGCATCAATTCAGTCCCAAATCTGCCCCTTTGTCCCCAAAATGGGATGGCACAATGTGTCCCCCCTGCTCTTTTTGGGGTCTCAAATCAGCCCCAAATCTCCTACAACTCAGCCCCAAATCAGCCCCAAATATGCATTAATTTAGTTTGAAATCAATCCCAAATGTGCATCAATTCAGTCCCAAATGTGCATCAATTCAGTCCCAAAATCAGTCCCAAATCTGCCCTTTTGTACCCAAAACTGAATGGTACAGTGTGTCCCCCCTGCTCTTTTTGGGGTCCCAAATCAGTCCCAAATCTCCATCAACTCAGCCCTAAATCAGCTCCAAATCTGCACCAATTCAGCCCCAAATCTGCCTTTTTTGTCCCCAAAATGGGATGGCACAATGTGTCCTCTCTGCTCTTTTTGGGGTTCCAAATCAGCCCCAAATCTCCTACAATTCAGCCCCAAATATGCATCAATTTAGTCTGAAATCAATCCCAAATGTGCATCAATTCAGTCCCAAATATTCCCCCAAATCAGTTCCAAATCTGCATCAACTCACCCCTGAATCAGCCCCAAATCTGCCTTTTTTGTCCCAAAAATGGAATGGCACAATGTGTCCCCCCCTTTCTTTATTGGGGATCCCAAATCAGCCCCAAATCTGCATTAATCCAGCCCTAAATCAGTCCCAAATCTGTCCCAAATTTGCCCTTTTTGTCCCCAAAATGAAATGCCACAATGTCTCCTCCCTGCTTTCCTTTTGGGGTCCCCACTCTTTTTTGGGGGTCCCGATTCAGCCTCAAATTTATTCCAATTTTTGCATCAATTTAGCCCAAAATTGATTCTGAATCTGCCCCAAATCTGCTCCAATTTACACCAAATCTGCTCCAAATCAGCCTTTTTGTCCCCCAAAATGAAACAGCACAAGGTGTCCCCCTTCTTTTTTTGGGGAGGAGTCCCAAATTTGCTCTGAAACTGCCCCAAAATCAACCCCAAATCTGCTTTGAATCACCCCAAAATCTGCATCAATTCACCCCAAAATCTGCCCCAATTTGCACTGAATCAGCACTTTTATCCCCAAATGGGATTTCCACTTTTTTGGGGGTTCCTCCATTTTTTGGGTGTCCTGGTGGAGGAGGAATTTCTTTCTATTAAAATTTGAAAAATATAAAAAATCCCAGGAAAT